CATTGGTCTCCATTTTTGAAGCAAAGCACTCATCTGCGCACCCTACATTTCACTCATCTGCGCACCCTAACTCATCTGCGCACCCATGCACCAAATTTGACCCATCTGCGCATCCCATCATCATATCGCACAACATTCCAGCCTAGTATGTAAGGCACACTCATACTGTTTTCTATGTAAGGCTAATCTATCTGCTGTATAAACACGCTGTCCCGTCGCATACTGTTTTCTATGTAAGGCTACTCTATCTGCTGCATAAACACACTGTCCCGTCGCCAGTTCCGGCCCCAAGTATTTTCTCAAGCATGCGTTTGCAAGCATCTCAACAGCGAGGGCCACCGTCGAAGAGTGGCACATAGGCACAAATCTCGTGGATATCAATAGAGATAAAATAAACGCAAATAAACGATGATCATGAAAAACAAAAAGAATAGTAGGTAGCAAGGGGAACCGATTAAAAAACACAGACATTGCAAAACATGGCAACCGCAGCCACCCAAACCGCATCGAAACTACACAGGCCATGAGAAGCATGGAAACCGGCGACGCATTATAGAAACCATGGACACCGCATAGAAATCAAAGAAACCATGTAAACCACACAAAGCCAATAAAAACCATAGAAACCATGGAGACCATGGAAACCGGAGACACATTATAGAAACCATGGAAACCGCCTCCCCCCCGCAATGCGTACCAAGAAAGAAGCACACAGGCTCAAGTCTCGATGGATTTAAACAAAGATTAAGAAAGAGAAGATGAATCCAAAGAAACGATACCTATGAAAAAATGAAAGAGAGTGGGTAGCAAGGGAAGTCGATTAAACATAAAGCGGGTGGGGGGGTGCAGGGGGGAGGGCTGAAACAAGGGCGCACGCCTCCCCCCCACAATGCGTACCAAGAAAGAAGTACATAGGCACAAGTCGCGATGGATATCAATAAAGACAAAATGAACCCAAATAAACGATGATGTTGTTTATGAAAAAACAAAAGAATAGTAGGTAGCAAGGAGAGCCGGTTAAAAAAAAAGCGGGTGGGGGGGTGCAGGGGGGATGGCTGAAGAGGGGCCCTAGCGTCTACTTCAAGATCAGCTAAGGCGTCTTCCCCAATGACAGCACTCTTTTACACTCAGCGTGTTGCCGGTCAGTGCTTTGTCTACAGGGTTACTCTATATACCTCTTGAGCCTTGAAGGGCGCATATAAATGTGCTCAATACTCATGCATGTACCTCTGTAGGTATTAGATCGAAACAAAAACACAGGCACAAATTCAAAAGCAATGAGTAGAGCACTACGCCTTGTCGTACCCAATTGGTATTAAGAGTATCTTCCTGCATTCTCTACACAATGGCAAATAGCAAAAATAAACGGAGTTACGCAGTGGCTTCGAAATGAAAAACACTTGAAAGCAGCGAATGTCCTAAAGACATGCTGCGAAAAGAAACAGCGGATTCGCTAATTTTTCCAGTAGTGACCAATGGTGCTTCGCGCACGGTCTCTCCAAGCAAAATGCTTCGCTCTACCGGTGGAAGATTGGATTGAAAAGTTCGGATTCGCAAGATTCAGAAATTCAGGTTATAACGAAAAACAATTGACCAAATCACGAAAGAAACGGATATAGCGGATCTCCAAAGTTGCTTATTCAAGCGAACAATGGACAAAATTCGAAGTTGGTAAGTTTTGGAATTCGCTCCATTCGGAGTGGTCTGCTCGCAGAAAGTTCATGGAGATAAATGTTTATAGTGTCTCTATTTACAAGAGTATCTATTTACATTAAATTGAAATTCTGACACTTGTGGCATTGTCTCTATCTAAAAGAGTATATGCTATCTTGTGTAAAACAAGTTGATGCACAGAAAAACTGTACAAGGCCTCTCATGCTGTGTTATCTTCAGTTAAAGAAGTATACACTCACTCATCGCCAATAGCTTTCTCTCCATAGTCTGGACGAAGAAGATGAGGATCCACCCCAACCGGTGTTGCCCTGATACGTTGATGCTTGATCTTCATATGCTTTTCTCTTTTTCTCCTTCTGTCTTTCCTTCCTCTTCTCAGCATATCTCATCTTCATTTGAGCTGGTTTGTAATGATGTCGTTCATTCCATGACATATCAGAAGGTTCTAAGTGTACAAGAATTGCGTTGTGAGCATCACGATCATTGGGAGCAACCATAAAGATGTTATGATCACCATGTAAGCAAGTTTCGTTTACCTTGAAGTAAAATTCACCCACATAGTTCATGTGATCTTCATCATCAAATTGTTCAAGGAACTCCTCACACACCAAACGTGAATGACCCCACTCAACAACTGAAAGCATACAACAATCACCTTTGCCCGTTGTCTTCTTCATGAGCTCTTCGGTGTATGAAACTGTTGTAATGCCATCCAAGTGCGTTGCAAGAAAATCAAGATACCGATAACTGCAAGAAATGAAGTGCTTGACCCTAACTGGAGGGCAAGTTGAATCATGGTTCCTGCGCATGGCTTGTGTTGCAACACCCATCATCCTGTTAATCCAGACTTGTATTAGGCTGTGTTGATACGTAGGGACACCTGGAGACTTTGGTGTAGTGTAATAGCATGCCTTGTTTCCATCCCCTGCAAGGATGTCAACTTGATATCTAGCACACTCGAAAGCCATAACAGCTAAACACTCACCAACAATACCAGGGGAGTCTGATGCATACTTCTGTCCAACGTGATAGACGCACACACGTGTCATCTTCATCCTGGCTCTTGTCAAGTCAACAATCTCATCTGTATCACGGTCTTTTGTCTTTCCCCAAGATACTTCAAAGATTGCCCATGAGACTTGTCGAACTCGTGTCTCGTTGTCATCGGTGTAATATCCAGCAATTTGCCTGATATAACCGTCCTTTCCTATTCGAGCTGCCACCATCAAATCATGATAGTCACTGAAGCAAGTTTTCAACTGAACCTCTTCGAGTCTCTCTCTGTGAGGATATAGTGAACCAGCTTCACAATTCATGAAAAGATGTCCTCCAAAGTTCTTGATAACATTGATGAAGTAATTGTTGAACTGGGACTTGTTCTCATCAAACTTGTTGTGCTCTTCATCAATGCTGTAGTCGATGTGTGGCATGAATTGTTGAAATCTTTCTGGAACTGGGCATTTTTCGAATCTGCTTCTGCACCAGTTTCCCAAATTCCAAAACATCACTGTAACTTGAGGAGAGGAGCGATAAGGAAATTCATCATCCTTGTATGTTGGGTCCAGTAGGCCTCCACCTGAATATCTGTAAGCCAAGGCTATGCAAGATCATACAGTAAGGCACGACCTTGAGATTTGAGTACTTCTGTCAAATTTCCAAAATCATCATCAATTCTTCTTTCTGCTTCCTTTGAGGCTTCTTCTGATTTGTCTTCATGAAGAGGATGCATTCTTGGATCACTACAACCATACTCAATGTTGTTCTTGAGTTCATCTAGTTCTTGTGATGGTTGTTGATCTTTGTGTCTGGCAATGTATTCAGTCATCAACTGTTCATCTGTAAGATGGTACCAGAAATCTTGATGTGAAGACATAGTCTTTGGGTACTTTACATGCCAAAACATGTGTCGATGTTTCGAAGATGCTGGATATCCTTGATTGTAAAATCCTGCACATTCACCATGGTAACCATCTGTGAAACAATCCTTCAATTTTCGAAAAACTGAATCATCTTCGTTTCCAGTGATATCTTGACCATAGTAAAGTCTCAATGCAGGTTTTTCCTCAGGAGCTGCCTCATCATTCTGAATGTCTGTGTTCTTTTCCCCTGATTCCTCCTTCTCTGAGGAGCCTTCAGGTGGAACTGGTTCCTCTTTCTCACAAGAGCTTCCAGATGGAACATGTGGCTCCTGTGTATCCTGCTCTTCTTCTTCGACAACAATCTCCTCTTCTTCTTGTTCCTGCTTTGCCTCTTCTTTGACAAATCTCTCCTTGATCTTTTGCTGAACATTTTTGTTCCACATATTAATCCATTGAAGAGTACACTCAACCAATTTGTCATCATCTGTTTCCAAAATGATGTGCTTGTCCTCAACATGTAAACTTTCAATGGTGTCCTTGAATTCAGGATCAACACGACCTTGTCCTTGAAGATCAGGAAGAGGAGTATCTGGGTCATCATCTACCAGTTCTGGCTCCTCAACATCTTGGAAATTGTCTGATGTGATGTGTTCGTTTTCCTGAAGGACCCTTCCAATTTCAAGTTTGAACTCATGATAATCATCATAAGAGATCTCGAAACCCATTGCTGGTGCATAATGATCCATGAATGTTCCAAATTCAGCATGTGCTAATGCCGTCATCATCAGGAGCAAGGAAAAATAGCTAATGTCACCACGCTGTAAAGGTTGACCTCCTTCCAAATCATCACCTCTGAGAACATTCTGTCCAGTGAGTGTAATCTCTTGCAGGAGTCTTCGATGTGCAGGTTTGAGTTGCATAAGCAAGAAATTTCCATGTCTGCTATCGATCGATTCATCGATCTATCTACCTACCTACCTACCTACCTATCTATCTATCTATCTATCGATCGATCGATCGATCGATCGATTTATCGATCTGTCTATCGATCTATCTATCTATCTATCGATCTATCTATCGATTGATCGATCGATCGGTCGATCGATCTATCTGATCTATCTATCTATCTATCTATCTATCTATCTATCTATCTATCTATCTATCTATCTATCTCTCTCTCTCTATCTGACTCTATCTATCTATCTATCTATCTATCTATCTATCTATCGATCTATCTATCTATCTATCGATCTATCTATCTATCTATCTATCTATCGCTTTTACACAAGTCGGACACACAGAAGCTTGTACACACAGAAGCTTTTACACACAGAAGCTTGTACCCAAGCTTTTACACTGTTGTCGGAAGTTTGACTTCTAAACTCTAAACTTCCTTTGGCTATACATAAATACATGATGGAAAACCAGTTTCTCTACATGGGATTGTTTGGATTGCTGCAGGATGGAATGTGGTTTGACTATGACAACAAGGGGAATCCAATGGGTGCAGTCTGCAAATTGGATGGGAACACAGTGATGTTTGGCTACCCTGACAGCACAGTGGATGCTGTGGCAGTGATCTACCATGGCCGTGACAAGGAGTCGGCTGCCTTCAAGGTTGGATATCAGGCTGCCAGACTCATCATGGCGAAGATCATCGAGAAGGGTGCTTTGCCTTCCTTGCTTCCTTTGAGTTCCGTGTCAGCTGCACGGACCTTCTCCGTGACATCCTATTATGAGCTAGCTTTCCTCACAGAAAGTGACCTGCTCAAGTGACTTGGCTGCAGCAGCAAAGCTCTGAAGCTTGGAAAGCCATCGACTTTGCAGTTGGAAGACGGTTCAGGAGGAACCGTCAGCGGATTCCACCTGGCGATGACTGGAATGCCGTTGGGGCTCTTGATGTCCTGCCGCAAGGTGAGGATCAGCAGCAACTTGGCCGTGACCCAATCTGATGAGTTGATGCGCCCAGACCTTCAATGCAGAGCTGAACAGGCAGCGGACACCCTCAAGCTGGCCCTCCGCACCAACCATGAAGGCCGGGCGACGCAGGAGAGATGCAGTGGAAGGCAGCATGTGCCACAGTTTGCAGCCCTCTTGGACAAAGCCAATGAGATCAAGAAGGCGTTTCGGGTTTGGCTTTGGTGTTGCATTGGGCATTGGGTGCCTGTCTTCTTTGATGATTCTGATCATCATGTGACGTCACTGTCAGAGTCAGAGTCAGTCAGTCCACAGAGCAAAATGACAATTCAATGATTCAATGCACATGTGCCATGTTACCAGTTACCAGTTACCATGTACATGTGCAATCAGCTTACACTTAAACTGAAAGCTTATGGCATATGGCATATGGCGTATGATCTTGTGGCCATGGCTATGCCATGTGGCTCGGCTATATATTGAAGCCTTGTGACGTATGTGTGTCACAGCAATCCAGGCATTGACGTGAAATTAAACAGAAGTAGTAAATATTTATACCCCAGGACTGGAAGTTAGAATGCTGCTTTGGTGGAAAGATGTGGATTTCAAGAAAAGACCCGCGTACCGCGTGAAAAATCCGGGAGGCATTCTAACCTTATTTATTTAGTCCTGAAGGCATTCTAACCCTATTTATTTAGTCCTGAAACCCCTAAAACTCTAATTTTTTTTGACGCATTCCATCCTGTTGAATCAACATTTCATTATCGTGGAGAATATTGTGGGAAAATTCCGGACGCGCATTCTAACCCTATTTATTTAATCTTGAAACCCCTTAAAAAATCCAGCACGGCATTCTAACTCTATTTATTTAGCCCTGAAACCCCTAAAGCTGCAAAATGTTTGGCGCATTTTCGACCGTCCTGTCTTTTTGAATATGCACGTAAATTGCAAACAAATCTTTCCATGAACAATAAACAATGGCATAATATGCAGAAAAATGCAATATCGTATTATAAATATGTAGAATACGCAGGTATTCGCTAAAAAAACATGCTCATGACCAGCAAAAAACTACATGATCACTAAAATTGACAGAATATGCAGAAAAAATGCAATATCGTCATCCGCCGATCCAAGAACACCTCGTTTACTCACATCTAATATGCATGTACATGTACATATATGTAATATATACAGCGCATATATATATATATATATGTGTGTGTGTGTTTACCGTCCTGTTTATAATCAATATTCAATATGTAATTATCGTGGGGTATCGTGGGAAAATCCCCGGCGCGCATTCTAACCCTATTTGTTTAGTAAATTTAGCCCTGAAACCCCCAAAACTCCAAAATTATTGACGCATTTTCGACCGTCCCGTGTCTTCCATGTACTGCAAATATGCAGAATATTGCAGAATATGCATGTAAATTGCAAACTCATCTTTCCATGAACAATAAACAATGGCATAATATGCAGAAAAATGCAATATCGTATTATAAATATGTAGAATACGCAGGTATTCGCTAAAAAAACATGCTCATGACCAGCAAAAAACTACATGATCACTAAAATTGACAGAATATGCAGAAAAAATGCAATATCGTCATCCGCCGATCCAAGAACACCTCGTTTACTCACATCTAATATGCATGTACATGTACATATATGTAATATATACAGCGCATATATATATATGTGTGTGTGTTTACCGTCCTGTTTATAATCAATATTCAATATGTAATTATCGTGGGGTATCGTGGGAAAATCCCCGGCGCGCATTCTAACCCTATTTGTTTAGTAAATTTAGTCCTGAAACCCCCAAAACTCCAAAATTATTGATGCATTTTCGACCGCCCCGTGTCTTCCATGTACTGCAAATATGCAGAATATTGCAGAATATGCATGTAAATTGCAAACTCATCTTTCCATGAACAATAAGCCCAATAAGCCACTGTCATGATATGCGGAAAAAATGCAATATCGTTTTTTGAAGGCGTAGAATACGCAGGTATTTGCAAACATCATTCTCATGATCAGCAAAAAAGTACATGATCACTAAAAATGACAGAATATGCAGAAAAAATGCAATATCGTCCACCATGCCTGCACCTCTTCTGGTTGTGTTTCCTCTCTCTCTGGAGAGCATACACCTTGTTCCTCCTGAGGTCTCACAAAAACTTGCAATCTTGGCAAAAACTCAAGTTCTTCATCAGCACGTTCCTCGTGATCTTCCATGTCAACAGTAGCCTTCTCTTTCTCTGGAATATGCTTCACCTTGTCCTTTCCTGCTATCCAGATATATCCATCAAGCTTTGTAGATGTATGGAAGTCGCCTGTACCACATTCCCTGGCTTTTGTTCGTGCTCTTGCAGATTGATGGAATGCTTCATGCTGGAAGAATTGATTGTAAGCACGTTCAACAAAGAATCTGTAGGATTGAGCTGTCAATTCCTTTCTGCTATCCACAAATTGTCTAAGCTTGTTGAGAGCGAAGACTGTAAAAATGGCAAAAGTTAGCAGGTGCTTCATCTTCATACAGATCGATTGCCATGATCATCATTTTTGTGGAAAAAGAGAAATGCTTCTCAGATTCAGGGATGACTGTTCTCTTGTTCATGGGAACTGTTATTCCAGGGATCGTCATGTCATACCCATGAATGTTCAACTCCAGTGCATCCAGAATGTTTCCTTCACAATCCACCTTTCTCTTGCAGAAATCTCCCCAAAGTTTGTTATTCTCCCTGATGAACTTGTCCAGATGAGTGGTAGTAGAAAAGACAAAGACGGCTTCTGAGAGATATTCCAAATCCTTCTGTGTTGCTAGGTCTCTTTCGTAAAGCGAGAATTTCTCTCTCCAGTTGTCTCTGCTAATATTGAACCTCTCATCCCAACCTGGTGGTTCAACTTGTCCTCGCATCCAGTCTGTCCAATGTCGGCGACAAGTGTCCAGATAAGTTCTCATGGCCTCTGTCTTTCCTTCTTTCTTCAACCAAGACAACATGCGTCCAATCTCCCAAGCTCTGGTGAAGAGTAGGCATAAATGACCTGTCCAAGGAAGCTTTTCCCAGTCTGCACGACCTATGGATTGCCTTCGTAGTGCTATCTTCTGTGGTGGTAATAGAAGGTTCCATTCCCTGAGAACAATGATCTTCTCTCCTGATGAGTTCTTTGTGAGTTCGCCGTTCTCTTCTCGTGCACAAATGATACCAGCCTCATAAAGGACCCAGGGATTTGATGCAGAAATAGATGATCTTGTGGCCTGTGTCACAACAGGGTCTTCGACATCATCTGGTGGATCTTCTGCACCCCAGAGGTCTACAGCTTCTTCACCCATTGGATCATCTTGGGGTTCCACTGATGGTTCCTCTTGTTGATTGTCTTGTGCATCTTGATGAGGATCATCTTGAAAAGGATCATGTTGTGGAGGTTCTGAACTTCCTGATGAGGAGCGTTGTTGCTCCCATTCATCTTGAGGTTCCTCTCTCTCTCTTGAGAGCGTCCTCTTCTTGATGGTTGTTCATATGGATTCCCCATAGGTTCATCATCTTGTGCAGATGCCTCTCTCTCTTGAGAGCTTTCTGCATGACCTTGTTCAGTGAGAGCGTTCTGCTGCTGCACCATAAATTAAATCCATGACTGGGTCAAAATCATTCTCATTGCATAGTGGTGTACCAAAAACCAATCTTCCATAGTTTTGTGGAACTTGTTGACCCATGAACTCCCATGCTGTGATTCTGACTTCATCAGGAATGTCTCTTGATCCAGGAATAAAACTTGGACCTTTCTCCTTCATGACGTGTTTCCATGTGGTGTTGGAATGCCATGAACCACCTGTAACTGATGGAGGTAGATAGTGACCACGTCCTTGATGAATAACATTACATGCTATTGTGGGGAGTTGTTCCTTGACGTGGAGGTACTGGAAAGGAACGTCACCATGAAAAAGAACTACACCATTCCTTGTCAGGTAGAGTTGGTTATCCACAATAAAACTTGGATCCAACACGAGGTGCACTGATCGTTTGTAACTTCTTGGTGGCTTAGTGCCCTCTGCCATCCTGATGTAGCCCTGACCATTGTCATTGTGATACATGAAGTGTACTGCATCTCTTCCACCTTTTCCACTTCCTTTCACATTGGTCTTCAGGCCTAATCGTTGAATGGATTCTAAGTTCAAATAATCAGTGACATGAAAAATCCAGCCCAAACTCCTCATCATATGTCAGTTGATGATGTGCAACAGTTGGATCAACAACTTGGTTGCTATGTCCTTGAAAAGCACCAAGACGAACGTCGAATGGATATGTTGCAGCTGGGCTATATGGATACCACGTCCATTGCATGTATATCTCCACAAAGAATCTTTGCTTGGGATTGCACAACAACAATGCAGCAAAATCTGCTCCAGACATGTGATATTCCTTTGGATTGTCTCTTTGCATCTGATCAAACAATATAGAAATGTTCATAGATCCACTGGCAGTGAACAGTGTTTTGTCTCGACAATGTCTCAACACATTTGCCAACTTCTTGCTACATCCCATATAATAGCTGTTCCTTGATGAGCTAGTCAGATCCACGTTGAGAGCATTGCATCTGTCATCAAACCAGTCCTCTTCCTCTTGGGTTGTAAAACCACAGAGATACTTCAGAAACTCAGCAATCCACTTCAGAGAATCATCAAACTCTCCATGACTTGTGCCCCAATAAAGGATCCAGGAAATGACATCCATAAACATTTCATATCTGTCAGTTGACTTCATGTTGTGTGGTCCCATCAATGTGTGGAGATTCCTGTTTCTCTTCTTCCTCACTCTATTGTGAGCTTGAAACCAATCTGTTCGATGTCTGTAACCATTGCTGAATGCTAAATGGTCTTCTCTGGGTAATGTCGATGGTGTTCGAAATAGATTGTCTAGGATTTCCTCTGATCTTCTCAAAGCATATCCATCAGCTGAATGTGTTCCAGAATCATCAACTCCAGAACTGTGATATTCTTGACCTCTATTGCTAGATTGTGCCTGATCACTCGATGTTGCGGCTGAGGTCCTATTCCACCGGCTAGAGCTCGCCATATTGAAGAAACAGTATGATCCTCGAGACTCTGCCTTTTGAGCCCCAGGCACAAATTCAAAAAATAGTCAAGAATCCCTCAAGGTGTCACCTAACAGAAATACATCATGTCTGAAATCAACATGACTGCAAACTGTTGGCAACCATGACCTGAGGTAAGCCTTGTGTTCCAATAATGATCT